AGAAAATTTTATTTTATATACCACTAGCCATGAATTTTTGTCAATAGTTATTACATAATGCTGGTTCCATTATCCAACTGGCACAATCATTTTATGTCTGCAATTTACTTTGTATTTACAGAATTTTCATGTTTTACATAAGTAAATCTATTGGTGAAGATTTAACAGTGAGGTGCAATCTACCATCCATATTATCTGATGTTTTTCAGATAGCAATGTAGAAGAGATGTGATTTTAATCACTTTTTCATTTGAGTCACCTTATGTAAAAAATAAATCAATAACTCAGATCATCTAAATCTCTAAAGGAGATTTTCCATTGTGCTCTAGAAATAATTAAACAGTAAGATTGTCAGAAATAACTTCCATGTCCACATCCTCTTTGTCTTCCAGCTGCTTTCCTTTGCGTGTAAAGGGGCCCAGATAAGATGAATGTTTTGCTTGGCTTTTTTGATGTCCTGAGCTTTCTGTAGTTTATTTTTCTTCAACCTGTTCACTATAAATTTAGCTCTCTGTTTCTGTTTGATCTCTTTGACTCTATTCATTGCATCAATGATTTTATTTCACAGCTCTCACTGGTAATTGACAGGTTAATTTCTACATTTTTCAAATTCAAATGAATTATCAACTATAAGCTCCTTTACCACCTGCTTTATGGAAGGCTTTAGTCCACCTGACCTTGCAAGAATTGTGCTTCTTTCTGAAGTTTTTATGACAGTTGGATTTACAGAACCTGAACAACTTGCGGTCATTGCAGATGAACATCATGCTGTGGCCAGAGTATATGGGCCTGGAACAGAAATATCACTTCTCGATACATGTTAAATGTACATGGGGACCCACCACCAAAATGCTCAGCTTGAAAGAAAGGCCTTCCTTATTCAAGTGTGAGTACTTTGCCAGTGAAGAAATTAATTTGCCCATGTCTGTCTTACATATGAAAATATTTTCCTAGTTTATTCTTTATCCTTAGTCTCTGCATGTATCTCTGTTTTTCTCTATGGATGTTTTGTATTTTTAGTGTAATTGTGTTTACCTTTCTTAAATTCAGCTTTTTGTTTTGTTTTGTTTCAATATATTTTATTTATTATACTATTACAGTTCCATTTTTCTCTCCTTTATTCCCCTCTGCCCTGTACCCCCTTCCCAACATTATTCTCCCACCTTAGTTCATGTTCATGGGTTGTACATATAAGTTCTTTGGCTTCTACATTTCCTATACTATTCTTAACTTTCCCCTGTCTATTTTGTACCTACCATTTATGTTTCTTATATCCTGTAACTTTTCCTCTATTCTCCCCACTCCTCCTCTCCACTGATAATCCTTAATGTGATCTCCATTTCTGTGAATCTGTTCCTGTTCTAGTTGTTTGCTTAGTTCTTTTTGTTTTTTTTTAGGTTTGGTCATTGATAGTTGTGAGTTTGTTGTCCTTTTACTGTTCATATTTTTTTATCTCCTTCTTTTTCCTAGATAAGTCTTTTTAATATTTCATATAATAAGGGCTTAATAATGAACTCCTTGAACTTGACCTTACCTGGGAAGCGCTTTATTTGCCCTTCCATTCCAAATGAAAGCTTTACTGGATAGAGTAATTTTGGATGCAGGTACTTGCCATTCATGACTTTGAATAGTTCTTTCCAGCCCCTTCTTGCCTGCAAGATTTCTTTTGAGAAATCAGCTGATAGTCTTATGGGGATTCTTTTATAGGTAACTCTCTCCTTTCCTCTTGCTACTTTCAAAATTCTCTCCTTATCTTTAATCTTGGCTAATGTAATTATGATGTGCCTTGGTGTGTTCCTCCTTGGGTCCAACATCTTTGGGACTCTCTGAGCTTCCTGGACTTCCTGGAAATCTATTTCCTTAGACAGAATGGGGAAGTTCTCCTTCATTATTTGTTCCAGTAACTTTTCCACTTGTTGCTCTTCCTCTTCTCCTTCTGGTACCCCTATAATTTGGATGTTGGAACGTTTAAAGATGTCCTGGAGGTTCCTAAGCCTCTCCTCATTTTTTTGAATTCTTGTTTCTTCATTGTTTTCTGTTTGGTTGTTTCTTTCTTCCTTCTGGTCCACTCCATTGATTTGAATCCCAGTTTTCTTCCCATCACTATTGCCTCCCTGTGCATTTTCCTTCATTTCTCTTATCGTAGCCTTCATTTGTTCATCTAATTTGTGACCAAATTCAACCAATTCTGTGAGCACCCTGATTACCAGTGTTTTGAACTGTGCTCTGATAGGTTGACTATCTTTTCATTGCTTAGTGATGCTTTTCCTAGAGCATTGTTCTCTTCTTTCATTTGGGCCATTTTTTTTTTGTCTTGACACACCTGTTTTAGTACAGGGTAGAGCCTTAGGTGTTCACCAGGGCAGGGCAACCCAGTGGCTGAGTTGTGACACTGTATGTGGGGCAGGGGTCTGAGAGGGAACAATGGCACTTGCTCTGCTCTCTGTTGAATTTCAGTCACTTCCCACAAGCAATTTGGGTTTTTTTGGTGCTGATTCCTATGTGGGTGGTTTTGTGTACATCCTGGGTCCCTGTGGGTCTCTCCAATGAACTCTCCTGTAAGGCTGGGAGTTTCTCCCTGCACCTCAACCCCCACAGGTGTTTTCAATTGGTGTTTTGAAGCTTTATTTCCCTGCACTGGGACCCTGAGTTGCGCAGTCTCTCCTGCTCCCCAGTTTTGCCTCGTTTATCTGCACGTGAATGTGGGCCCACCACGCCCACCAGTTGCTTTTTGCACCACACCTCTCCACAATCTGCCACCTTGCTCGGTCCACCCACTGCTGCCTTGTGGTGCCCAGGGTCTGCCAGCCACCCTGCCTGAGCCCTGTCTGTCTGGGCTCCCTGACTCTGCCCCTCCTGCCAGTCTGGATGAATGTGTCTACTTTAACTCCTTGGTTGTTGGACTTCCATACAGTTCAGTTTTATGTCAGTACTGGTTCCTTTTTTGGTTTTTAAATTGTTGTTGTCCTTATTTTGGTTGTGCGAGGAGGCACAGTGTGTCTACCTATGCCTCCATCTTGGCCGGAATTCAGCAGATACATTTTTATCTACAAAATTTGGGCAAGTTTTTAGTGCCTTGTTTTTATCATCTGAAGATGGGGATAAGAAATGAGAGGACTTATCTCTAGGGTTATTGTGAATACATGCAGAGGGCTTAGTACCATGTTAGTGAGAAGTCAATAAAGGGTAGAAATGATCATCCAAATTCTCACTTTCATGACACAATTTCTCTATCTGTACATACAAACACTGAGATGCTTATGAGCACTGAACAGAATCTTTGTTTGTCTTGTTCACTGCTATATTTCCACACAGCTCTCAGAATAGTACCCAAATATTTGTTAAATGGATGAGTAAAGAAAATGGATGAGAAAGAAAAATCCATCTTTCTTTTCTTCGTTTCATCCATCCATCCTTCCCTTCCTTCCTTCTTCCTTTCCTGCCTTCTTTCCCTCCTACCATCCATCCTTCTTAGAAAGGCAGTCAAGTATAGTGGCCTAACTCAAAGTTTTTTTTTTTTAAATTATGGTAAAATATACATAACATAAATTTACCTCATTAACCATTTTAACTGTATAGTTTAGTGGCTTTAAGTACATTTACACTGTTGTGCACCCATCACTACCATCCATATCCAGAAATTTTTCATCTTCCCCAACTGAAACTCTGTCCCCATTTAAACAATAACTCCCTATTCTCCTCTCCTCCCAGCTCCTAACAACTACCATTGTACATTCTGTCTCTCGGATAAGTTGACTATTCTAGGTACTTCATATAAGTGGAATCATATAGTATTTGTCCTTTTTCTGACTTGGCCTATAAGTTTTGCAATCATAAAAGTTGTATGCTCTTAAGAAACTTAATTTTCCTGAATCTCCACTTCCACATCTGTAAAATGGTTGTAATAATAGTACCTATTCATAGGTTGTTTTAGGGTTTAAATGAGATAATACATTTAAGGTATGTAGCCCAGTGTCTGGCACATGGAAAGTGCTCAATAAATATTGAATTATGTATACATACATGTTATGAATCAGGGAACCCTGGAATTGTGCTTATCATATGTCTAGCATGGTTGTAAGCACTTTACATATGAGTATTAACTCATTTAAATCTCACAATGATCCTATGTCACTATGATCTGCACATTGTAGAGGAGAAAACTAAAGTGCAGAGAGTGTAAGTAAATGCTCAAAGTTACATAGCTAGTACATGGCAGACTTGGGGTTGAAATCCAGGCAGCCTGTTTCTAAAGGCATGGCTTTTCCATGGGGCCAAATTACCTCTGATGCCTGTCAGTGGACAGTCATCTGTGCACAACTCAGTACTGAATCAGGAGATCCGGGTGAGTGAGTGGAGGTGTTGGGACTTCATGTACGAGGGGATGTCTGTGGGAATCGGTGGAAAAGACACTAAAGATGAATTGGCTGTTACCTTTCATGTGTGATTCTAACCCAGTGGGGCAGTCCTCATGTCCACTTTGGACATGAGGGTCTCCTTTGGATCCTGGTGGTGATCACAGGGAGCTGGGTCCTCCCTCTTCTTCTGGGGAAGGCCCAGAGGCTCCCCCAGCCAGCACCTTTCCCCCTAGGTGGCAGAAAGCTCAGCAATCCTTGACCACCACTTGCTCTGCCCAGTTCAGATTTTTAAAAAATCTTTCCTCCTCTCAGCCTCAGGGCCACCTCCTGCCCAGGTTTTATTGCTTTCTTTGCACCCTTTTAAAGGGCAGAGCCTGTGTTGGGATCAGCAACTCTGGCTCTGGAAATAAGAGAATCCAGGAGAGCAGGTGCGGGTTCCCAGACAGTTTAGGCACAGTCTATTCTGTGTGGCCTTAGCCCTGGTGTCTACAGAGGTAAGCCCACCACTGCCATTTCATCTCTAGCCTGGCCCTTCCAGGTTACTGAGAATTAATTTAAGGTTGGCAGGTGGTGAGCTTCTTCCTGGGCTGCCCATCCTTCCAAGTCCACTCTCCCTTTCCTCTTCTGCAGGCAACTGCATCTATGGGTGACCTTGAATTTGGCAGTGGCGAAGGAAAGGAGATGAGCATGGAGGACAGGTGGTGTGGGTCCTGGTATGAGCGGTTTGTGCAGCCCTGTCTGGTTGAACTGCTGGGCTCTGCCCTCTTCATCTTCATTGGGTGCCTGTCAGTCATCGAGAACAAGCCAGAAACCGGGCTGCTGCAGCCGGCCCTGGCCCATGGGCTGGCCCTGGGACTCATCATTGCCATGCTGGGGAATATCAGGTGAGGGCAGGCTGTGCATTCAGCCAGTGCTAACCTGAGGAGCTGAGCTATGAGCAGGGACCCCTGGATATACACTCAGAATACTGGGGGCACTGTGGGTAAGTGTGCTTTGGAATAAGACTACCTGGGTTCAAATCCTCACTCTGCAGCCTATAAGCTCTTTGACTTTGGGAAAGTCACTCTTCAAATTTGAACCTCTCCATCTAGAAAATGGGAACCATAGAGTATGTTTAAAATTATTTTTTTCATAAGCCCATGTATATACTATACTGCTAACATGTGCCAAGCTCAGTTCTAAGCACTTTACAGATACTAACTCAAGTAATCCTCACAACAACCCTGTGCAGTAGGTATTCTTATTATCCCCATTTCCCAGCTATGACAGAGAACACCTATGTCATCCATTCAAGCTTACATGGACAGTGAGGGACAGAACCAGGAGACAAGCCAAGCTGTCTGCCTACAGCATCTAAACACAAGAGTCTCTTGGGGGAGGCAGGAGGATGAAATTATGTGAAAACATAATTTCACATTATGTTTTCACATAATTTCATTATGTGAAAACACATTAAGGGCTCAGTCACTATTGGTTGCTTTGTTGATGTTAATATTAGAATGGGGTTTTATTCCTGCCTCACGTTTTCCCTGGGGAAAGCAGGTTGTAGATGGATTTTGCACTTGGATGTCCATGAACCTGAGTGGTCCTGGCCCATTGACTGGTGACCAGAGAGGACAGTGAGAGGAGGGGCTTCTCTTGCACAGCACCTGTTTGAGCAGATGCTCCCATGGGGAGGTCTGTGAGCTTCCAGGAGAACCAACCATTAGTGACAAATGCCTTGTATGGGGCTGCTCTGTATTTATTCTCACTCAGAAAGTGAATCAGAATAAAGAAATCAAAATATTGTTTCCCAGAAAAGCAGAATGGAAAGAAAACTTTAACATTTCTTTTAAATGTCCTAGTGAGGCTGCTCATAGAATGAATAGCACATGATCTTCTGTTCCAGTGGGTCTAGGGTTGAATGTAACTTTTGTCACATCTTAGCTGGGTGGACAGGGCAAGTAACTGAATCTTTCTGTGCAGTGGTATAAATGGAGAGAATAATAATATCTGGTATTTATTGAGTACTAACTGTATATGTAATACAGCATAGGAGCATGTATTAATTCATTATATCTCTGCTACAGCCTTATGAAGTAAGGATCATTGAGGCACAGGAAGGTATGTAACTTGAACAAGGTCACACAGGTATTCAGTGACATAGCTGGGATTTGAATCCAAACCAGCTACTGGAGAGACCAATTTTATGTATTGCGATAGACTGCCTCTCTATGATACAAAACATTTTTGCTTTTTTAAACATATATTTTATTGATTATGCTATTACACTTATCTCATTTGTCAACCTTTATTACCCTCTGCCCTTACTCCTTTTCCCACTTGCATTCCCCCTGCCCTCCTTAGTTCATGTCCATGGGTCATACATATAAGTTCTTTGGCTTCTACATTTCCTATACTATTCTTAACCTCCTCCTGTCTATTTTGTACCTATCATTTTTGCTTCTTATTCCCTTGTTCCCGCCATTCTCCTCCTTTCCTACTCCCCACTGATAACCCTCCGTGTGATCTCCATTTCTGTGAATCTGTTCCTGTTCTAGTTGTTTGCTTAGTCCATTTTTTGTTTTTTCAGGTTTGGTTGTTGATAGTTGTAAGTTTGTTATCCTTTTAATGTTTGTATTTTTTATTTCCTTCATTTTCTTACATAAGTCCCTTTAACATTTCATGTAATAAGGGCTTGGTCATGATGAACTCCTTTAACTTGACCTTATCTGAGAAGCACTTTATCTGCCCTTCCATTCTAAATGAAAGCTTTGCTGGATAGAGCAATCTTGGATGTGGGTCCTTGGCTTTCATGACTTGGAATACTTCTTTCCAGCCTCTTCTTGCCTGTAAGGTCTCTTTTGAGAAATCAGCTGATATCCTTATGGCACTCCTTTGTAGGTTACTCTCTCCTTTTGTATTGCTGCTTTTAAAATTCTCTCCTTATTTTGAATCTTGGGTTATGATGTGCTTTGGTATGTGCTTCCTTGGGTCCAAACTCTTTGGGACTCCCTGAGCTTCCTGGACTTCCTGGAAGTCTATATCCTTTGCCATATAGGGGAAGTTCTCCTTTATTATGTTTTCAAATAAATTTTCAATTTCTTCTTCTTCCTCTTCTCCTTCTGGCACCCCAATGATTTGGATGTTGGAATATTTAAAGTTGTCCTGGCAATTCTGAAGCCTCTCCTCATTTTTCTGAATTCTCGTTTCTTCATTCTGTTCTGGTTGAATGTTTATTTCTTTCTTCTGCTCCAAATTTTTAATTTGAGTCCTGATTTCCTTCCCTTCACTGTTGGTTCCCTGTACATTTTCCTTTATTTCACTTTACATAGCCTTTTTCCTTTTTTCTCTATTTTGTGACCACACTCAACTATTTCTGAGAGGATCCTGATTAACAATGTTTTGAACTCTGTATCTGATAGGTTGGCTATCTCTTCAATGCTTAGTTGTATTTGTTTTAGAGCTTTGATCTTCTCTTTCATTTGGGCCATATTCTTTTGTCTGGACATGCCTGTTACATGGTAAGGGGCGGAGACATAGGTATTGGCCAAGGTGGGGCAACACATGTTGAGGCATTGTGGCACTGTATGTGGGGGAGTGATCCAAGAAGGAACAATGTTCCTTGCTTGGCTCTTGGCCAGCTTTCGGTCACTTCCTCCACTACTCACAAGCAAATTGAATCCTTCTGGTGCTGATTCCTGGGTGTGTGGGCCTGTGTACATTCTAGGACTCTGTGGGTCTCTCCAAAGAACTCTCCCATGAGACTGGGAGTTTCTCCTGCCACCACAACCCCCACAAGTTTTTTCAGTCAGAGGTTTTCATGCTTTCTTTCCCCATGCTGGAACCCTGGGTTGCGCTGTCTGCCTTGTTCCCCAGTTGTTCTTCCCAGTTTATCCACATGCAAATGTGGGACCATCTGGTCTACCAGCTGCTGCCACCACCCCAGTCCTCCAGCTGCTATCTTGCTGGGAGTCCTCTCTGTCCTAACTACCCATTTCTGGCTCTCCTACTAGTCTGGATGGATGTTTCTTCTTTATGTCCTTGGTTGTTGGATTTCCATACAGTTCAACATTCTTACAGTCCTGGTTGTTTTTAAAGTTGTTGTTATCCTTCTTTTGGTTGTACGAGGAGGCACAGTGTATACACCTATGCTTCCATCTTGGTTAGAAGTGTGTTTTTTTTTTAAATATTTTATTTATTTATTTTTAGGGAAGGGAGGGAGATAGATAGAGAGAGAGAGAGAAACATCAATGTGCGGCTGGGGGTTATGGCCTGCAACCCAGGAATGTACCCTGGCTGGGAATCGAACCTGGGACACTTTGGTTCCCAGCCTGCGCTCAATCCACTGAGCTACACCAGCTAGGGCGGTTAGAAGTGTTAATACAAAACTTTTATCCAATCATTTTTTAACACTATTTTTTAAATTGTTGTTCAAGTACAGTTTCTGCCTTTCCCCTCATCCTTCCCCACCACTCGAGCCTTCCCCACCTCCTTCCCCTGTTTCCACCACCCCTTGTTATTATCCAGGTGTCCTTTATAGTTGTTCCTGTAAACCCTTTACCTGTTCCCCCCATTACCACCTCCCTTTTCCCCTCTGGTCACTGTTAGCCTGTTCTCAATTTCAATGTCTTTGGTTATATTTTGCTTCCTTGTTTATTTTGTTGATTAGGTCCCAGTTAAGGCTGAGATTATATGGTATTTTTCTTTCCTGCCTGGCTTATTTCACTTAGCATAATGCTTTCCAGTTCCATCCTTGCTATCGCAAAGGGTAGGAGATCCTTCCTTTTTTCTGCTGCATAGAATTCCATTGTGTAAATATACCATAGGTTTTTGATCCATTCATTTACTAATGGGCATGTAGGTTGTTTCCAGCACTTGGCTATTATAAATTGTGCTGATATGAGCATTGGGGTATGTAAGTTCTTTGGATTGGTGCTTCTGGGTTCTTAGGATATAATCCTAGCAGTGGAATTGCTGGGTCAAAAGGTAGTTCCATTTTTAGATTTCTGAGGAAATTTCTTACTGTTTTCCATATGGTTGCACCAGTCTGCAATCCCAACAACAGTGCACCAGGGGTCCCTTTTCTTCATAATCTCTCCAACACTTGTTGTTTGTTGTTTTGTTTGTGATGGCCCTTCTTAGTGATGTGAACTGGTATCTCATTTTGGTTTTAATTTGCAGTGGTGGCTAGTGATGGCTAGTGACATGGAGCATTTTTCATATGTTTCTGGGCCTTCTGTATGTCCTCCTTGGAGAAATAAGTATCTGTTCAAGTCCTTTGCCCATTTTTTAATTGGGTTGCTTGTCTTCTTAGAGTGGAGTCATGTGAGTTCTTCATATATTTTGGAGATCAAATTCTTGTCTGAGGTATCATTGGCAAATGTTTTTCCATATGGTTGGTTCTCTTTTCATTTTAATGCTATTTTCTTTAGCCATGCAGAAGCTTTTTAATTTTATGATGTTCCATTTGTTTATTCTTTCCATTATGTCCTTTGCCCTAGGGGACATATCAGTGAATATATTGCTCTATGGAATATCTGAGATTTTCCTGCCTATGTTCTCCTGAAGGACTTTTATGGTGTCACCACATATATTTAAGTCTTTTACCCACCTTGAATTTATTTTTCTGTATGGTGTAAGTTGGTGATTGAGTTTCATTTTTCTGCATGTAGCTGTCCAGCTCTCCCAACACCATTTGTTGAAGAGGATATTTTTATTTCATTTTATGCTTCTGCCTCCTTTATCAAATATTAATTGACTGTAGAGACTTGGGTTTATTTCTGGGCTCTCTATTCTGTCCCATTGGTCCATGGGTTGGTTTTTATGCCAGTACCAGGCTATTTTGATTACAGTGGCCTTGTAATACAGTTTGATAATAGGTATTGTGATCCCTCCTACTTTG